ACACTGCCCTCTAAGTTGGCACCTATCTTGACCTTTTTTTTGCCTGTCTCAGAGCCCAAGTTTACCAGTTTGATCGGCTCTTCGTGCGGTTGGATAGCCTTTTCTTCTTGTATTAAGAATCTGGAAAGTTCTCCAGGTATTTCACAATCTTCCTCACCTTTGTCCTCGACTTGGTAAATCTAACTTTCAAAGTCATACGCGACAATAGCAAAACCATTATCAACGAGATCCAGAGTGGGTGTGGATCTGTAATGTAGTGTGCGGGTGTGTGTAAGAACACATAGCTATTTGAAAGTGCAATAAAGTAAAAGAAAGACAGAGAGCGTAAAATTTGAATGCAAAATGTCCAATGCTTTTATTTAAATGAAAATATAACTTATGAAATGACAACCCTTAACAAATGGATCCTAGTGCCCCGGGAAAAGCACAAGGTTTAAAGTCATTGTTTTAAAAGAAATTACTTAACTAAACTTCTTAAAGCAATAAAAATAGAAATAGATATTACTTCTGACTAAAGGAGATAGGGAAAATGTCTTCTGCTTTCCAATTTATTAGTCCATCACCAATGGTTGGGAGTATCCAACTGCCAAAATCACAATCACTATCAGCGTCTTCTATAGCATTGATTTTGTTGTTGCTGATACGGAACAAAGGTCTTCCAGCTCGAGCACGAAGAAAAATCCATTGACCTTCTACAGTAAAGCCCAAACCAACCTTATCAGATTTGTAGGGGATATTAGGAAGCTGACCCCAAATAGTACAACAACCTTCATCTATAGTAGCATTGGCATCTTTTAAGGAAGCCATCTTGTGTGAAACCCTGGTAGTCTTTGAAATGGCAGAAACATCTTTATCAGCAACAAGGGAAATCACTTCAAAGGTTTAACATGGAGTCTCGATAAATTCTCCATCCATATCCATGTACATGAATGAATTCAGGTGGCTGACCATGTACTCCTCTTCTACGCAAACAGTAACATTCTTTTGGACTCATCAAAGGCTCAAACTATAATGTCACTGGGTTTCAATACAACCCCTTCACAATCCAGTATGTCAAGAGCGTCTTTTGACATAACATTCAGAGAAGAGCTAGTATCAACTAACACATGAACCAACGTAGTGCCCCTGCATTCAATGGAGACATACATGGCCATATTATGATTTCTCCCCTCTGGAGTCAGGTCAGCATCGAAAAATCCCAAACCGTTATCAATTGTTAAACTCACCACATAAATTCTAAATTGATCGGCTGAAATTTCTTGTGGCACATGAGCAGTCTTCAAGAATTTTACTAAATCCTGCGCATGGGCTTTAGAACACAATAGTAAAGATAGCATGGAGATTTTGAACAGGGTCTGCCCCAGCTGTTCAACAATTTTATAGTCACTCTAGCTGATGATTTTCAAAACCTCTTCCAACTCTTTTCCGGAGGTGTCATTGACTGCAGCTTCTTTTGGCACCTCTATCTGGGAAGGCTCTATCATTGGCTCTTTACCCCGAACCTCAACAGTTGTCTTGGTAACTGTGACTTGAACAGGTGGAGAGATTTTCGGGGAGAAAATCCTTCTGCTTCTAGTAATTTTGCTGGTCCCTGCAATAGTCAATATGTGGATCAACCTCTTCATCATCTTCGTCAGACAACTCTTGTTTAATGTCGTGGTAATAGACATCAGACTCATAATTCCATGGAATAACCTTCTCTGAGGAATATGGGATGGGCCCAGGTGTTGTAATGATTAAAGGAGCAACTTTTGGATTGACATTAATCCTTACAGGACCCTTGGAAGTGATCCTGAAATGAGTACCAGATATGACAGACAAATCTCGGTGCAAATTCTCAGCATACGGAATTTTCTCAATCAAAATTACATGTTCATCCATCAGGCGTTGAATTCCTTCCTTCAGTAACCCGCAACCATTGGGTTGAACTACACAACAATAACATTCTTTAACATAACCCGGAAATAGACCGGCTTGTAGAAAATTCTCCTTGACTGTTAAGAGAGGAGTAGCTACATCATTTACGGAAGTAACATACAAAACATCTTCAACACCAGTTATGCATTTGTCATGCTTAGGCATATGAGCAATAATCACATTCGAAGTCTCCTGAGGATAAAAATCAATTTCCTTATTATTGATCATTTCCTAAATCTTGCTTTTCAGGGCCCATCTGTTGTTGGTTTCATTCCCATGACTGTTTGAATGATAGGCACACCTCGCATTTGGATTGTATTTTGGAGAGGACGTGTTGGGATTCTGAGGAGGATCCCGCAATGAAATGAGTTCAGCCTTTAACAAATGTTGCAATGCTTGAGCAAATGGAATAATAATCCTGGTGAACTTCCCCCTCGAAGCGTCTGACCTATGCTGGTTTCCCTGTTGTGATTGTTGAACAGGCGCTAGATTAGAGATCAATACCGCTCCCACAGACTGATGGCGGTCATTTTTACTACGGCTCTTCTGGCCATAGACAGTGTAATACGATGTGAGAACTGACTTGTTTGTTTTGCGTTTTATCATAATTGTTGCGGATAGCAAGAGTCGCCATCGACTTTTATTTTATCCAATAAGGAAAGGGTGAAAAGAACAGGAAATACCCTTTGATATATTTTCTTGAATACGGGGGTAGGTTATGAAAATGGAAGGTGTTAGCACCCTTTTCATCCGTAGTTATCTACGGGATCTTAGTTGCTAGCTCACTTTGAAATTCTTTGTTTGAAATGTGTTTGTGATGTTTTCGAAAGTATTTTTGAAAGTGCTTTTGTTTAGGCGAACTTTGTAATGATTCTCGTCTCTATAAGAATGTATACAAAGTGTTGACTTTTGAAAATATTCTGTTTTTGAAAGTGTTTGGTGTGTTTGAAAGATGTTGTGAGCAAGAAACTATGAATGTTCTACCTTCTCAAAAAGGGGCTTTGTTCTTTTCCTCCTCCTTTAGATGTTACTATCTTACCATTGATTGGTAAGAAGCCCCGTCATTGGATGTGAATGGACAGACGTGGGTCAATCGTATAGTCATTGAAGCCAACTTGTGAGGCGCTTTAGCAATTTTTGTAAGGGACTAAGATTATTTTACCGAAGACAACATCGAAGGGTCATCGAGGGACTATGATATTTTTTAATCGAGGGTCTTTGCTAAAGCGCCCCACATTCGAGGGACATGACTGTTTTTCCGAGGTGACAAGCGAGGTTATCCTAGAGGTGCGCGTGTGAAAAGTGTGTTCGATTAAAATTTATTTGTATTTGATTAAGGTGGTCTAAGGATTGATTTTATGTCTTGCCATACACGCTTAATTACTATACAGTATAAAGAAAAACAGTAAATGTGCGGGAATTAAAATTTTACGCTATTACAAAGCTTTCAGGAATGGGGAATACAAATTTACGAATGGGGATGAAGTAAAAGCCTAATTAAACTATTACAAATTGTACATAGTTACATTAATCGAAAGAATGCGAAAAAATAGTAAACTACGAGTAAATGAAAAGAAAAAGAAAATTTATTTTTTCGGCGTGTTTTTAAAGAAAAGAAAGTAAAACAAAAATATAGAATAAAGATGTAACTAAAGCAAAAATTAATTTGACTAAATTAAAATTCTAATATTATCAAAATTAATCTAAACTAAATAAAGTTATTAAAATAATTCTAAATTAACTTAAGATTCTAATTTACTGAATTAAACCTAAGCTAATTACTAAATTAAATATAAATTAAATTAATTATGCAATAACTAATTTAAATTTAAACTACATTAATAAGAAATTACTAATCTAGATTTAAATTAAATTAATTATAAAAAGAGGTGTGAAACAGAAAATTGGGGGTTGAGTATTAATATGTTTCGAATGGGCTTAGTAGAACAAAAGTCTACAGGCCCACACACCAATAAAAAAATGAAAACTTGGGCTTAAAGGGGACTGGGTCGGGTTGGATCCAATAGAGGAAAATGAAAAGTTTTTGAGAACCCTAATGATACAAGGGCGCCGCGGCTGTTCATACACAGGGAAGAGGAATTGGTTAACTAGTTTTTTTTTATTTCCAATAAACTATATTGTTATGTTTACCATAAAAAAAGAAAACAAAGTTAATTTTCTCTCACATCCGCCGAAAATAATTACTTCTTCTCTCTTCTAAAACTACATCATCATCTTCATCTTTGAACCAAAACGGCGGCATCATCGTCTTCAACAACCGAATTGCACGCCATCAACATCTCTCTGCCTCAAGTCGCACAATAACTTTCCACTTTTTTTTTGAAATCTTTGGATTTCTATCCTTTTTGTGAAGTCACTGCAACCATCACCGGAATAGTGTTCATCCCAATTTCTCACAAGGTTTAGGCGGCCAGAGTGTTAGATTTGTTATGATTGAGTTTGGATATGTAAGGAAAAGTTGATATGGGAACAGAAGGAAGCGGTCCCGGCGGTCTTGATCAGAAAATGATTAGAGAAAAATAGAGATAATGTCGTTAGCAGTTTGGAGACGAAAGAGATGAACAGAAATCGTTCGCACAAGGTGAGACTAAAATATTCTTATTACAGTATCTATGGTCGCGACAAATTGACAGAACTAGAGAGTTAGAGAGGCGATGTGATGTTCTCGGCGCTGTTTGGAAGATGAAGAATGTGAAAAGATGCATCGCGGAGAAGATGATTGGAGGAGACGGTTGTAGGGTTTACAAGTTTTTTTTAACATTAATTTTTGGCACACAAAACAACAATATCAACAGTAAGCACAAAAGAAAATTCAGCTTGAAAGATTATCCAATGAGATGATGTTGAGTTATATTGTTGAAGGCTGCAGCGAGTTGGTGTTGAAGAATATCAGATTGATCTGCTTCAGAAATTGAAGGTATGAAACAATGTTGTGATGTGGAGAAGGGCGTGCAGACTATTGAAGTTTAAGGCAGCGTTGAAGGGTGGTACTGTGAAGCAAATTGGAACGGACGAAGCTGATTGGGCTTACGAATGAAAGATGGAATCGATTGAAGAGATTGATGGTAAAGCGATGGCGGTTATGCTGTGGTTGTTGGTATAAGGTAGAATAAAACCATTATAGAACTGAGATCATTGAGACAATGAATTAAATTGAGGGAGAGAGTTTTGTGGGTTGAAGATGATGAACTTTCGGTGGTTATGAACAGGGACATACGATGATGGATGATGTTGAAGGTTTTGAAGCGGATTTGCAGAAGTTGTGTGTCGTTCATAATGATGCAGACACGATGATGTTGTTGAAGAAGAGTTTTGACATGGGGGTTATGGAGACAGAGGTTAGAGGTATGTTTATGTTCTTTCTGTGTATTTTTTTTTCCAAATATTAGTGGCCCTCTCCTCTTTAATCTTTTGTTGTTAGCTTGAGTTTATAGTAGAACAAAATGAAGTTTTAGGGGGAAAATGGGATAAATTTGAACAACTTTGGTTATGTCTGTTGTTATTTTTCTGATGTAGGCTTGTCTTGCCATTTTTGTGAAAAATATATGTTTTTGGACTGTTATTGCAGCTTTGGGACTGATGCATAGTAGGCTGTTTTTAGGATTTTTTTGGAGTTTTGACAGGTTTGGATAGGGTGGGATAGAAACTAGCACATGGTTGATTTGTGGGCAGCGAGTTTGGGAGAACATGGTTGCACTCTTGTTTCATGAAGCATATGAGAAAGGTTAAGAAGATTGAAGATTGGGCTTTAGGACAATTCTTGTATGAATATGAATACATCTTGCACTTAGAATTGTAATGATCATTCTTGGAATGTTACTTGGCATTTATGAAAAATCGAGGTTTTGAATTGCTCTTTAATGATGCCTTTAACTTGTAATTTTCAAAAGAATTTCCCCTCATCTTTTAAAATTGAAAATGAACTTGAATCATACTTGGACTTGAAAGAATTCTTGAATAACATTTTAGTCAAATAAGACTTGAATGTCTTTCGTAACCTCTTGAATTCAAAATTGAATGAACTTGGATTTCTTGAATGATTTTTGAACCTTGAAATGCACTCCAAGTAAAAACACCTAAACCTTTTATCATGAACCAAATCTTGATGAACAATCAAAGAAACTTGATCTATATTAAATTTTAATTCAGTAATTACTAATGCTCGAATACAGGCAACTTATATTATAAGCAATATATAATCAATGAATCCTCAAACTCAACATCTTGCCTTTACCCTTGACTTAGTGGAGAACAATCTCAACACAAAATCAATTCTAAGTCTAAAATGTTCCAACGAATTTCATGGCCTTCTAAGCGCATTTGGCCGTCGATCCTTGAAGAAATCTTGTAGACGACATCATTTGTGATATGTTGCAAGAAGAACCATCCCGACATGATGAAAATAGAAAGAGTTACGATCCTTGAAAGTCGAGTAACAATTACTTGAGATTAGGCCAAAGTCTACAAAGTGGCCTCTAAAGTATCCAAACTTTTGATGATGTTGTGCAAATTATTGACCATTGACTTGTAAAGATAAATTAAAAAGGACGTAAAAAGGAACCAAATGCTCTCAGAGTCACTCAGAAATGTTGAATATCAAAGAAGTTATGATCTTCTGAACTTGATCTTGAAAATGTCGACTTTTGCAGTTGATTTCTAGTCATCTGAACCATTGATTGAGCAAACTTGTAATGCGAGGCTTGAAACTTGGCACGACATTCCTTGAGAATACATGAAGAACCATGAAGACCATTTGAAACCTTAGAAACTCAATTTTGCTAGAGAAATACCAGACCCTAGTTGCTGACTCAATGCTTAGGAGGAGAATCTGTTTGATCAAATCCTGAGGCATTTTGAGTATTTGAGAAACTCTAGGATAATATCTTGAATGAAAAATGGGAGGGAAAATTTTGGGGTACAACAGCTGCCCCTGTTCAATCTTCTTAAACTTAAAAAGTGAGATTGGAAAATTTGTCGTTCGTAGCTTGAAAGTGGAAGATGATTGAACATCAGAGTGCCCAGAAATTTGCACTCGTTTGTGCAAGAAGTAACGCTTCAGATTTATTGTATCGGAAATGGGCTTATAGATGCCATTTGGAGAGTGACGGAATATTGTCGGAGATGGGTGTGATACGGTGGCAGAACCGACTGTTATACTGGTTTGCATTTTGTATTCGCAAATGTTCGGTAAGCAAGAGTCGCCACCGGCTTTTCTTTTATCCAATAATGGAAAGGGTGAAAAGAATAGAAAAAGAACTTTTTCGAGAGTTTTCTAGGTAAAGGGGGTATATTATGGAAAGGGAAGGTGTTAGCATCCTTTCCATCCGTAGTTTTCTTCGGGCTCTTAGAGGTTTGCTCATTTTAAAATACCTTTGTGTTTTGTGTGTTTGAATTTTTTTTGAAAATGCCTTAGTGCGACGATTTTCTTTGTATTTAACTCTTGTATCAGTCCTCAAGAGCAAACTTTTGCGTAGGTGCAAAAAGTTGTTTTGAGCAAACTTCTAAAAGCTATATACTTTATTACTCGAAAAAAGTTTTTTCTTTTCCTCCTATCCTTTAGACAGTGCTATCCTACTATTAGTGAGTAGGTAGCCCCATCGTTGGATATTTGAGGGACAATCGAAGGGACGTTTACAGTCATAAAGGAAACAGGTAGAGACACTTTAGAAATTTTGTTTAGGGACTAGATCATTTATCGAAAGGCAACTGTAGGGTCATCGAAGGACTATGATCTTTTTGATTTACGGGTCTTTGCTAAAGTGTGTCCATTTCAAGGGGCATAATTGTTTTTCCGAAGGCAACCGAAGTTGGGATACCCTAGAGGTGCATATCTGCATATGTGTTAAATTTGGTTATTTATTTTGCATTATTAAATTTTCTAACGTGTTAATTTTCAGTCTTTCAATTCAATCCTAGTTACTAACAATAATATTGTACAGGAAATGTAAAGTGCGGGGATTATAAAAACCTACACTATTACAATGCTTTAGGACAGTTACATAAAAAAGAGTGCAAGAAATAAAGTGCATAATTTTAAACTTAGACTATTACATCCCATAATCAGTTACATTATTTATATAAAATACGAAAATAAAAAATAACACGCGCGAAATGAAATATTACGTCCAAAAAAATCCAAAGAAAAATTCTAAGTAAACAAGAAAAATCTTTTGGTTTTATTTTTATTTATGATTTAAGAGAAAAAATTAAATTAGTTTTCCTAAAGTCTATTTATAAAATAAACTAAACTTTTTGTGGTTTTTTTATATTTATGAAAAGAAATATTAAAATTAAAGTAAGTCCTAAATTTTATTTTACTTTTAATTTTGAAAGAAAAGGGTTAAAGTTAATTAATTAATTAATTTTAGAAACTAATTATTTAATAAAAAACTAAATCCTAATTTTTTGTGATTTTTTTACTGATTTTATGATTAAACTAATAAAAGAAATGAACTTAATAAAATAATTAAACAAAAATGAAATAATAAAATTAAATGAAAAAAAAGGGCCTGGTGTTGATCAGCAATTAAGGAGTGCTGATGATCTGGAAAATGTTAGGCCCAGAAGATGGCAAGCCCAAAATCAACATGGGATTCAGCGCTGCTGACCTCCAGAGCATGCACCATGGATTTGCATATTTAAGCGCTTAGATCTGTATCAACTATGCTCTGAAGGTGATAATCTGATGGTGTATGATGAGCGCCTGGCCATTGTACATATCGGATCTACATAGAATATGTTAGAAAGAAAATAAAAATGCCTGACCTGGGATTCGAATCCCAGGTCCTTCATCCAGCGCATGCCTTCTAACTGTTCAATCTGGATAAAGGAAAATTAACATTTTGAATCCTGTAAGTTTGTTAGTTTCAGAGCCAAACGAAAAGTAAAACTCTAGGCTGCTTCGATTTGCAAATTGTCTATGCCATGAGTTTTGATTTGATAAACCATTTACAAATAACAAGAATAATATGAAAATGCAGTCCACATGAGTTTATATTATAGATTGAATAAGACTAAAAGCTTTTACCCACTGAAGACACTTCGATTTCGAATCTTAAATGTGGGATGGCTGGTGCAACTTTCTGGGCTTTCTTAGAGGCAAGCTGTGTAGAGGTCCTTCGATAGAAAAGGCGTCCTTGGTGCAATATGTGTGTGTGTATTCGTTTTGTGTGCCTCCTGTGTAGTTTTCTCGTGTGCACCCCCCTTCAATTTGTGTTTAACATCTTATATTTATAGATGGTGGAGGAGACAAAGAAATATAGCATTAAAGACCAGCTATTAACAGGGCTTTGAAAACAGAATCAGACACATTAAAATATTTCCATTTTTGAGATATTTCATGCCATTCTGGGATTCTGAATGAACTTGGACATGTCAACTTGGCGCTTTGTTCGAATTTGAAAATATTCATAGTTTCCCTTTTCAGAGCCCCTTCGATTAGCCCTTGTTCTTGTGAGGATTCTAAGTCATGTTTCAAATTGTTCAGAACTTCCCTTATTAGAACTTTTTTGACCGACCCTTGTTCTTGTGATGATTCTATGTCCTGATTTGAATTGTTCAGAATTTCCTTTATCATAACATCTTAGATTAAGAAACTTCTGCACTGATATGCCAATCGAAGGATACTTCATTATGATGTCCTAATTGAAGGAAGTCTGTTGTTCCAATTGAAGGAAGCTCTGATACTCCAATTGAAGGAAGCTCTAGTGCTCCAGTTGAAGGAAGCTTAGATATGCCAATCAAAGGAAATTCTGATGTTCCAATTGAAAGACCCTCTGATGTTCCAATCGAAAAAATCTCTGATGTTCTAATCGAAAGAATATCTGATTCTCCAATCGAAGGAAGCTCTGATGCTCCAATCGAAGGAAGCTCTGATGCCCCAATCGAAGGAAGCTCGGATGCTCCAATCGAAGGAAGCTCTGGTGCTCCAATCGAAAGAAGCTCTGATGTTCCAATCGAAAGAAGCTCTGATGCTCCAATCGAAGGAAGCTCAGTTGCTCCAATTTAAGGACCTTTAATGTTCCAATCGAAGGACATTTCGTTCATCTTCAAATTTTAGTTTCCCCAGGAAGATGTTGGCAACCACCCATGTAAAAGAAAATGAGACAGAAAATTTTGGGGTACAATAGCTGCTCCTGTTCAATCTTCTTAGACCTGTGGATGTAGATTGGCTAGTCTTCCTTTTGTGATTTGAAGGTGGAAGATGATTAAACACTAGAGTGCCCAGAAATTTGCACTCATCTGAAGTGATATTGTTGGTGGATAATATCGGGAATGGGCTTACAGATGCCATTTAGAAAAGGGTGACAGAAGACTGTCGGAGTTGGGATTAAAGATGCCATCCAAGGAATATGACGGAGAGTCGTCAGAGATGGGCTTAAAGATGCCATCCAAAGTAGATGCTGACTTCATAAGAAGTCTCTTTGTGGGGATTCATGTTCCTGATGTCCGAGGAGGAGTCCGCTGGGGAATGTTTTAGGGGAATAGAGTCTAGGAGCTTCGGTTGTCCATTACCCTACTGGGGAGTTATCTCTTGATTGGAGAGACGAAAGCAAGCTGTTATCTGGTCGGAATCCAGGCTTCACAGTGACTTGCTGAGGACAATAAGACTGACTGCTATCTGGTCATATTCCAGGCTTCACAGTGACTTATCGGGGAATATGAAATTAACTACTATTTGGTCGGCTCCAGGCTTCACAATAATTGTAGACATTGAACTGTTATCTGGT